GTCATCACTCTGACACTGTCCCCAATGACTGTCTCAGGACTTGCTCTTCACATCTTTCTGAATCTGCTATGAATCATTAACATTAATTGAGCACCAATTATGTGCCAGGCACCATTCTAGACACTTGACACATATGTCCCATTGAGAGCAGCCCCGCAAAGTAGACGTTTACCCTCGGGTTAGATCTTAATCTCCCTGAGAGAGTAAGTAGTTGGCACTAAGTCATGTAGCTCGGAAGTGGTAGAGCAAGGATTCCAAACAAGTCCAGCTGACTCTGCAGCCAGGCTCCCCTGCCTCCCAGGGTGTGCTAAGCTTGTTGGATTCCGTCTGTGAATCAGTCTGTACCTTTGACTCACCTAGTTCCCCAGCAAAGCCCATAAGGTGGTTTGGTGTCTGTTGACACCAATGTGCATTCAAGTCAGGTTCTGTGTCTGTACCCCTGAGTGACAGCGTTCCATGCTGGTGTCAACGTCTCTGTAATTGCAGACTTCACTTGGGGCTCTAACGTAGGTACGTATCAGGCTGAACTGGAGGATGCTAACCTGAGAGAGGCCCAATAGACTGGGATGTTGTTAGTCATCAGAGAAACAAGAGACCAAGTATGTCAGAGCAACCTGGCTGGGCAGGCTTGCCAGGGACTAGTGAAGAGGTGGCTGGGAGGAGAGGGATTGAAGACAAAGAGGAGGGTAGCAAGGCTGTGTGGAGCAGTGGTGGTTCGGTGGTAGAATTCTTGCCTTCCGTGCAATTCTCGCCTTCCAGATTCGATTCCCAGCCAATGTATCACATGTGCAGCCATCAACCATCTGTCAGTGGAACTTTGTGTGTTGCTATAATGCTGAATAGCTTTCAGTGAAGCTTCCAGACTAGGACAGATTAGGAAGAAAGGCCTGGGAATCTACTTCCGAAAATCAGCCAATGAAAACCCTATGGATCACAATGGTGCAATCCTCGACCGATCATGGAGATGGCGCAAGGTTGGGCAGTGTTTTGTTCTACTGTGCATGGGGTCGCCCTGAGTTGGGGGCCGACTTGATGGCAGCTAAAAACAATAAGAAGCAGGGCTGTGTATAAAAAGGAGTGGACTCTTAACACCTAGCTAAGGTGTGAGACATTTCTATGCAAAGTCATAGGGGAAAAAAATCCTAACTCATTGTTCACAAGAAATAGCCCTTATGGCTTTATGTAAATCTGTTAATAAAGCTTGTTCTTTCTGGCCACACATTTAAACTGAAAGGCTTTCTGTCTTCATTAGGCATGTCCCCCCAGCACGAAGGTGTGTTATAAGGAAAGTGACGTTTCACTAAACATGGGAGCAACCGTTTCATCTGCATCCAAGAGGAGCTATGCCTTCACTCACAGAAGGCCAGGTCCTGGGAGGCACAGCAGTTTGGGCAGGAATTATTTGCAGTTAACATCTCACTGGAGGACAAAGTGAATTGAAGCTACTCCTGCTGGCGCTCATCTCAACAACACCTGTTCTTCCAGCAAACTTGACCCTTTATCACCTGACACCTGCCTGGCTGGATGAGCCTCAAGCAGCTTGCTGAGGAAATGGAGCTGATTCCCCTGCACGTTAGGTTTCATGGGAGAAATGTGATATGGGATTTTTAGATGCCAGCTACCTACATAAAAATCAAGAATCTACCAGGCATAACTTATTAATGAATCAAACTGGTAAAAGGCAACAGGTGAAAAGCTTGGTTTAAAAGGCAGACAGAAAGAAAAAAAAAAAGCCACAATCATACCATATCCTTTGTTATAGAAGATAGTGGCGGTTTGTAGCACGCAGCTCCGCTTTGCTAAGGCAATGGGGCATTTCCCTCGGAGGCAAAACCAAAAACCCATTGCCATTGAGTCGATTCCGACTCATAGCAACCCTATAGGACAGAGTAGAACTGCCCCATAGGGTTTTTTTTAAGGAAGCAGACTGCCACATCTTTCTCCCACGGAACAGCTGGTAGGTTCGAAATGCTGAGCTTTTGGTTAGCAGCCAAATGCTTAACCAAGGGCAGCATTAAATAGCTACGTGGTAGATCCTCATTCCGTGGATGTCTGAAGTGTTTCAGCTGAACCCTAGGAAGAGTACCTAGGAACATACTCTGCATCTACCTATCTACGTTGCTAACAGTCCACCTGACCTAACGGGACAATTACCATGGTTTCAAAGATTTTGAGAAACAAAGAATCTCAGTCTATCCCTTTCTCTCTCTCTCTCCCACATACACATACAAGCAAACACACACATACAGGTAAAATCTTAAATTACATCATTATTTCTTTGTCTTTTAATACGACACTCAAAATGCCGATGGCCAAGTTCTTCGCTGTTTTTCCAACACTTAGATCAAAGTCAGTACAGAGTAGGCCCTTGATATGTATTTGTTGAATAAATGAACAGATGAATAAATATTTACTACCCATAGGTTTCAAGAGCTGGTGCCTGATCTTGTCTGGTGGTTTTATGAATACCTCTAGGAAGACTTCTTACTTGTATTCTCATTTTACCAACATTCTTTTAATGGAAACATTCAAACCACTGTAGCTCCCTACACACTGTTACAATTTTTCTATTAGACAAATACTAAATGAAAATTAGGAGTGAAGGAATTTTTGGCATTTTTTTTTAATTGTAATTAAATGAAGTTTACATTTCAAATTAGTCTCCCATGCAGAATTTTTCTTTTTTACATACATTGTTATGAGACATCAACTGCTCACCCCATTCTGCGACAGCACACTCCTCCCCTCCGCCCCTGATTCCCCATGAACATTCAACCAGCTCCTAACTCTCTCTGCCTCCCCATCTCACCTCTGGACAGAAGCCCCCCCCGCTTTGGTCTCTTATATCTACTTGACTAAGAGGCACATTGTTCACAAGTATCACTTTATGTCCCACAGTCCAGTCCAATCCCTGTCTGAAGAGTTGGCCTCGGAAATTGTTTTAGTTCTGGGGTGATAGAGAGACCAGGGGCCATGCTTTCCGGGGCGCCTCCAGTCTTAGACCATTAAGTCTGTTCTGCTTACTAGAATTTGAGTTCTGCATCCCATGGTTCTACTGCTCCATCAGGGACCCTCTGTTGTGTTCCCTGTCAGGACGGTCATTGGTGGTAGCCGGGCACCATCTAGTTCTTCTGGTCTCAGGCTGATGAAGTCTCTGGTTTATGTGGCCCTTTCTGTCTCTTGGGCTAATACTTTCCTTGTGTCTTTGGTGTTATTCGTTCTTGTTTACTCCGAGTGGTTGGGACCAATTGATGCATCTTAAATGGCCGCTTGCAAGCTTTTAAGACCCCAGATGCCACTCACCAAAGTAGGATGCAGAACATTTTCTTAATAAGCTTTGTTATGCCAATTGACATAGATGTCCTCTGAAAGCATGGTCCCCAGACCCCACATCCCTGCTACTCTGTTTCTCAAAGTATTTGATTGCCTTGAGGAAACTTCTTAGCTTTGGTTTAGTCCAGTTGTGCTGGCTTCCCCTGTAGTGTGTGCTGTCCTTCCCCTCACCTAAGATGATTCTTATCTACTATCTAGTTAGTGAATAACCCTCACCCTCCCTCCCCACCCCCATAACCATCAAAGAAGGTTTTCTTCTGTGTTTAAACCTTTTCTTGAGTTCTTATAATAGTGGTCTTATACAGTATTTGTCCTTCTGTGACTGACTAAATTCTCTCAGCATAATAAGTTCCAGCTTCCACCAAGTTATACGATGTTTCACAGCTTCATCATTGTTCTTTATTGTTGCATAATATTAATTTTTGGCAATATATTTCTTATTTCTAACTGAAAATATGCTTATTTAAAGCATCTCATTGAAAATTTTGTATTTAATCCTATTCTCCTCTTATTTGGATACTAATAAATAATCAAAGGACAACAAACTACAGGGTTAATGACAAGGCAAGATTAGACATCCAAAAAAAGATCTGACTTCATCTTGGATTTTTCTTTAAGGATCACATCTTTTCTCCTCTCAGGCCATGTTCCTGAAACGAGGAAGTCTACTCTGCATTAAGACTAAGATCACTTGATGAATTTCAATGCCCTTCAAGAAAAGTAAAATTTTATGTAGAAAGATGTATTAAACGGTGGTGAGTCTACTCTATGTGTGGATATGTATATACGTAAGTCTTTGAGACAGGTTCAAAACCAAATCCACTCAACCCACCAGAAAGTACTGATGTTTAAGGATGAATCTCAGGAGTGTCAGAATTGGAGCCTTTTCCCCTTGATAAGTCAGACATGACACTTGAAAAGATATCTGCTACTCTATATTAAATCAAAGTAATAACAACAAAAATAAGCAAGCACCCAAGGGCATTCGGTTTGAAGGATATTAGTTTGGCTATTAAATAAAACTAGCCAGAATGAAAATAGAAAATAAAGTCTTAGTCCTGCCTTTCAAAGCTTGCTGACATCCCGGGCGATAAAAGAACTGATTAGCAAAGGAGGATGCGGGAAAGTTCTGTGGGCTCCTGAGCATTTTTACGAGTTGGTATATTTTTTCATGCTTACCTCCAAGAATAAAAATACAGTTATTTCTCTGGTAGATCTTTATTTTTTTTAAATGTCAAGTAAATATGGCAAGGCATAAAGGTTTGCTCAATATGGGTTTTGTGAGTACCCAGCTGTTTATTATTTTCTGTACTTCTCCTGTTTGAAACAATTCATTATAAAAAAAAATACTAAAAGAATCAAAACAGCAGTAACAAGGAAAACAACCAGAATGCACACTTCTTTTGGGGGGTGGGGGGTGGTTAACTTGCCTTTCTGCAATGGTTAAAAGCAATGAGACTCTGGATTCCAAGTTAAACAGGTGGTTAGTATTTTTTAAATAAAACCTGATTTCAAAGAACAGACTATTAAGATATTAAATTTGGTGACATTCTAACAAATGTTAATAGAAATCAACTCCCAGGAAACCTGAAAGCCTTCCAATAACAACAGAGTGCTGACAACTCATCATATTTAACAAGGTGTATTGGAAATAGCCGAGTACTGACCTCCCGAGGACAAATGATCCTCTTGGGACGAGGTGCCTCTTGCTGTAACTGATACACTGCCAAAAAAAAAAAAAGATCATTATAATTAGAAAATGGCAATGCAGACCAACATGCCTTGAAATATTTCCACCTGAGTACATCTCAAAAATCAAAAATATTTAAAACAAAACAAAAAGCAACCACAACACAAAAAGGAGGATACAGGCACATTTTTAGTCTGGATAAAGTCAGATCATTTCTATGGAAATTAGTCAGTGTGAATGTAAACTGGCAAAATTGATTTTTTTATTCTTATAAGGCCAATTTAGTTTCGTAATTGTTACTGGCATTGTTCATTTTATGGCTTTCTTGGAAGACGAGATACGACTACAATTCTTCTGAATATTTTAAAGATGAAATTCTACTTGTGAGTACCTAAGTAAGAAGATTATAAAATAGGATTCCTGAATTTAAATGCCGATGTCTCTTGACATACCAGGGAAGGACTGGTGTTAGGAGTGTCATTCTCTGAAATGTTAAGGTGATACACAAAGACACAACTGATTCCGGGAGTGAATGAAACACCAAGTCGTTTCTCTTTTCTGCCCTGCATATCACCATGGATTCTCATCCATTTAACTACTTCCCACCCACTGTCATTCCTCTTCCCTGGGCTCTTTCATAGCTTAAATAATAATGACTCTTTTCTAACCTGCTTTAAAGATAGATTTTCAGCCCTGGGCCTGGAGGAAAGCAGGTAACTTGTATACAAAAATACAATTTATCAGATTATCATTTGTGATTTTTCAGATTATAACGAATGATTTTTTCCTGCTGCTCAGCTAGTCTGTTTATTTCTCTTAGAGGGAAAGCTACTCTAGGCAGGTACCTTTGAGTTCTGCTTCCATGAAAATAGAGGTTGAAAACAAGCCAAATTGATGTTATCTTCAGAATCTTAGAGAGGGAAGAATTAATTTTAGATGGAAAAAAATTCAAAAAGTAAAAAACTCAATCATATAAAGTCTTTCTAAAAAAGGTGATAAGATAAGCACTAATTTCTGATTTAGTCTTAGGTCTAAATATAAAAAAGAACTCTTAATTGAAGGGCACGTGGTCATGTGGAAACAGAGATGAAAATGATGGAATATATTTTGTAATTATGGCTCCCCAACGCCTTCTGCTCAACATGGTTATTTTCTTACCCAACTAACTATAGACTATCCAGCTTCAGCACAGAGAAGAAACTATCTAATCTTCTTATAGATGTTGTAATGTGCCATATTTTTAAGCTTACGTTGCCCACACTAATGATGAGGCATGTGTCATTAAGGACAACTGTACCCATATCAGAGCCCTGGTGGCACAGTGGTTAAGACATCGGCTTCTAACCAAAAGGTCAGCAGGTCACAATTTGAATCCACCAGCTGCTCCTTGGAAACCCTATGGGGCAGTTCCAATCTGTCCTATAGGGTCACTATGAGCCGGAATCGACTCGACGGCCATGGGTTGGTTTGGTTTTTTGGTACCCCTATAAGAAAGAAAAGCAGAGTTCAATATAGCCCTTCAACTCAGGAGGACACCAAAAATGACAGATAGATTTGAAAAAAATAATCTGTAAGTATCTGTTTCCCTATGGAAAAAGAGCCAGCAGATCCTAATGGACCAAAATATGGAAAGTGGGAGTGGGTGGGGGATAAATGAGCTGCCTACCACACTAGATCATCCGCGAGTTGGCATATATTATTCAGCTTGAGCTACACCATTCCACTGACTTCCATGGCACCACGTTCTCCTGGTTTTTCTTCTTCTATCCTGGCTGCCCCTTTCGTGTCCCCACTGCTGGCTTCTCCTCCTCTACCTCTCCACTGAATGTTGGAGATACCCAAGGCTTTGTCCTAGACCCTCTCCAGGTCTCATATTTTTCTCCCTCATCTCCCCCCACCCTTTTTTTCCTTGTCCTTTAGATAAAGGTTTACAGAACATACTAGTTTTTCATTAAACAGTTAGTACACATACTGTTTTATGACATCGTTTAACAATACCATGACATGTCAACACTCTCCCTCCTTGACCCTGGGTTCCCTATTACCTGCTTTCCTGTCCCCTCCTGCCTTCTAGTCCTTGTCTCTGGGCTGGTCAGCCCCTTTAGTCTCATTTTGTCCTATGGGGCTGTCTAATCTTTGGCTGAAGGGTGAACATCAGGAGTGACTTCATTACTGAGCTAAGAGGGTGTCCGGGGGCCATAGTCTCGGGGTTTCTCCAGTCTCTGTCAGGCCAGTAAGTCTGGTCTTTTTTTGTGAGTTGGAATTTTGTTCTACATTTTTCTCCAGCTCTGTCTGGGACCCTCTATCATGATCACTATCAGATCAGTCAGTAGTGGTAGCTGGGCACCAGCTAGTTGTACTGGACTCAGTCTGGTGGAGGCCATGGTAGATGTGGTCCATTAGTCCTTTGGACTAATCTTTCCCTTGTGTCTTTGGTTTTCTTCATTCTCCCTTGCTCCCGAAGGGGTGAGACCAATAGAGTATCTTAGATGGCTGCTCACAGGCTTTTAAGGCCCCAAAAAACCAAAACCAAACCGGTTGCTGTCGAGTTGATTCTGACTCATAGTGACCTTATAGGACAGAGTAGAACTGCCCCACAGGGTTTCCAAGGAGCACCTGGTGGATTCGAACTGCCAACCTTTTGGTCTGTAGCCAGAGCTCTTAACCATTGCACCACCAGGGCTCCATATATCACATATACTCACATATTTAAGTATATATGTAATGCATACTTTCATTGTAAGCAAGTGAGTAAAATAACAATATGTATTCATTTTTGCTTGTATCTGTATACAGAAACTCTGGAAGGACCCACAAGGAAGTAGTAAGAGCAATTGCCTTCAGAGGATGGAAGGAGTAGGGCAGCCAAGGACAGGAGTAGGAGAATGACTCCCTAATGTACACTTCTTATATTATTTTGACTTTTTGAACCATATGTATATATTGCTAATTCAAAATAAGAAAAAAACAAAAAAAAAGCCATGGGTGATAGGACCAGAGAAGGTCCACTGTAAAGAGGAAACATGAGAAAGAGTTGGCCATTCAAAGATGGAGATATGCAAAGGGAGAGAACATTCCAGGCAGAGCGCTAGCATATGCAAAGGATCTGGGAAGAAAGCGTGCAGAGCAAGCTCCAGGAACTGCAGGTTGCTCAGAATGGCTGGACCACCAGGAAAGTGGGGAGGCAAGACTGGAGGGCAAAACCCAAACTGAACCCGTTGCCGTTGAGTTGATTATGACTCATAGTGACCCCATAGAACAGAGTAGAACTGCCCCATAGGGTTTCCAAGGAGGGCCTGGTGGATTTGAACTGCTCACCTTTTCATTAGCAGCTGTAGCTCTTAACTACTACACCACCAGGGTTTCCAGACTGGAGGGTAGGTGGGGTCAGTTCCTGAGGGCAGGTGGGGATTTTATCTGGGAAATCTCGGAGAGCTGTCATCGAAGAACTTGAAGCAAAAGATCACCATCAGTTTTATGCCTTAAGAAGGTCACCAGGGTTGTATGGGGAGAAAGGCTTTGGGGAGGATGGGGCAATCCAAGAGCCAGGGAGAGTGGGTCCAAGGCTAGTGTGAGAATCTTGGCAAGACACTATTGGATTCTGAAACAAGGCTGTGGCAGTGGTGATGAAAAAAGTCAGGCTTTTTGTCCTTGTCCTTGTGAAACGTCTCCAGTGCCGCTGATCACTGAGGCACACAAATAAGAAAAGTGAAACCCAGCCATTGTGAGCATTCCACTAACTATCCCAGTACTGCCCATGCCCTCCTTAAATCACGAGGGAGGATGCACGGAGTTCCTGCCTCCCTTGTGAATCAGCCCAATACCTACTGAGCTGATTTCAGCAGGATGTTGCTGTTAATGAGCGTAATGGGAACCAAAGGGCCCATCTTCCAGAATCACAGTTTTAGATCTAAAGGGAATGCAGAACCCACACTCAGAGAAGGCTGTCTGCTATTCTTTTCCCGTGGTTAACGTCCCTTGAAGCCGACAGTTATAGGTTGGGTTCACGGCCGGAACAGCTTTGTGGACACCATTTTTAATGTATCTCTTGGTGGTGGCAAAGGAAGTGCCCCTAGTATAAGAGAGAAGCATTTTAGCTAAGGGCTCCTTTGCAATGCGTATCAGCAAATATGTGAGCATCTGCTGTGTGCCAGACATTACAGTCAGCATCACAGTGGAGGTTTGGAGGATGAATGGAGAGAAAGGGAGAAGAAAAGGAAACCAGCATATTGAGCGCTTGCCATGCCCCAGGAACAGTATTTTATTGAATCTAACCAAGGACCCAGAAAAAAATAACTTTGTATTATTATCATTCCCATTTTCAGATGAGGAAACAGGTAAGGAGAGGTTAAATATCTGCCCCAGGGCACAAAGTTAATGCATCCCTCTCATTCTAAAGCCGGAGTTTACTCTGCCTATGCCTCAGAGCCTTTGTACTTGCTGTTCTTTCCCCTGGATTACTCATTCCCCACATATTCATATGGCTCCCTCCCTCCCTCCCTTCATTCAGGTCTCTGCTCAAATCTCGCCTTATCAGAGAGGACTTCCTTGGCCTTCCCTGAAATTCTACCCCATTACTCCACTCCCTTACTCTGTGTTATGTTTCTTCATAGCACCTGTCACCATTAACACACTTTTTATTTTACTTATTTATTTTGGAGACTGTCTTTTTTGACTAAAATGTAAGCTCTTTGAGTCCAGGGATTTTGTTCTGGCCATTGTGGTATCCCCAGTACCTAGAACACTGCTTGGCACGTGTTGTTAATTGCTGTTGTGTCTGCTCTGACTCATGGCGACCCCATGTACAACAGAATGAAAAGTTGCTGGGTCCTGCGCCATCTTTATGATTGTTGGTATGCTAGAGTCCACTGTCATGGCCACTGTTTATTTTGAGTGCCTTAAAACCTAGCTATATCGGGCAATATTCTGTTGTGATCCATAGGATTTTCATTGGCTGATTTTTGAAGTAGATCTCTAGGTCTTTCTTCCTAGTCTGTTGTAGTCTGGAAGCTCTGCTGAAACCTGTCTGCCAT